TTATGCTCTTGAGTTAGGCTCAGAACTTGTCTGGTATCTTAACTGTGATTAATTATAACTTCCCTGTGACAAGACATTGTTAATTCACAGGATGTGTCAAAGAAAAGTCATGGCTTTCAAAATGAGTCTTCACATTGTGTAGCAGACATTTAACTTAGAAACTGAATTGCAAGGTTAGTCTCCCTATACACTCATTGGAGAAAGAGATTCATGCTGGGAATCACCTGGGGGACATCTCTCCCTTTATGCTGGATAGGAAGCTGAAGGCCGCCTAGCTTCCTAATGTAGGCACTTAAGTCAGGTGTCTGAAGCTAATCAACATCAATACTGTATCAGAAATGGAGCAACATCAACTTTAAGGTGCTCTCCTCCTGCATCTTCAAGCTTTGGGGAAAAAGCAAACTCCCTTGTGGCACTGCCCTGCATAATAACAGTGAGCAGAGAAAAGGCTGGTATCTAGCCTGTGCTGCGTCATCTGCTCTCCCCTCCTGTGAGTACAGTCCCCTGTGACTCTCTGAGGCATCCCTGACCTTGACACTTCCAGAGGCTGCCAGGCCTACAATGTTGTGATAGGGATTTGAACTGAAAAGCATGGGTCAGAATTAGACTATTTCAAGAAAAAGAACAAACACCATGTGAAGCTGCTATGAATAGACCCTTGCTGTCCATAAATCAAAGTCTTGAGCTGGGCTGCAGCATCTATAACTGGAGGGAAAGGCTCCCTCCAGCCTGCCGCAGAGGTAAAATACAGACTTTCACTAATCGCTGTGTGTAGGAGAAAGGACGTTAAATGCAGAGCTGAGAAAGAACAAGCAGAGGTGAAAGAGGCAGAGAGAAATTGCACGGAATATTTACAGTATGATACCAAAACAAGGGACAGGCTAGTTTTCTTTCAATTTTTCCCAATCCCTGGCTCTAAAAAGACACAAGATATTCAGCCATTGTGCCTGGATAACTTTGGAGGGGAGCTGAGACCATTTCCTAGGTAAACATGCACTACTAGTCTTCAGAGGCATTCTTTTAACACTTTTTCTGCAGAGGATGAGAAAGCAGCAGCCTTTGCTGATGCTGGCCCAGCACACCTGAAGTGGCAGCAGAAATCAGACACACGAGAAGGGAGCAGTCCCAGTCAGGTGTGGCTGACAGCAGTGCACAGCCCTTTCTCCTCTTTGCTGTGTTTTCCAGGCAAGAGCCAGCACTGGTGAGGTAGGGGGGAGCCCTGCCTGCCCCCGATGGGTGTGCACAGGTTGAGCGCTGCACCCACCCACCCACCTCTGTGTGTTACAGCCAGCACAACTCGGTGGGCACAGAGGTAGGGAGATGCAGACGTGCCTGTTGGTCACCTTCTGGCCACCAGTGTGGTGTGAGGCATGCAGCTGGCCTGACTGCGCACAGCACCTGAGGTGACCAGGGAAGCCAAAAGCAGAAAGGATGCAGGGGCAGCATGGCTGTGCTGCTGGGGAGGTGCATCCTCTGGACCCTGCTCTCTGCCGGGCCTTTTGCTGTGCTCGCAGGGAAACCCACTCCAGCAAAGTCCTCGTTCTGTGTCTGTCTCCTGCACTGCCCCTTGTGTGTCCTGTGGCACCTCACCAAGTCAGGGGAGTTGTGATCCCAAAGCCAAGGGCATGGGCATCTCCACTTCAGGGCAGAGACAAAACACAGGAGCGCTGCATCCTTTCGTAGAGCTGTCACCCCAGAAATGCAACCTCACACAGACCTTGGCAGGTGGTTTTGGGGGAAATCTGCTTAAATGGAAAGAGAAAGCAGTGGAAATACCAGTAAAGAGGGGAGTGATTGGTTTGCAGATGTATACATGCTGTTATTACAGAACCACAGTTTTGACAGTACTACAGAGCCACATCTATTACCAGCCTGGGTACAGGGTGGAATTGTATTTAAAGGTGATGGTGTAGGAAGAAGTAAAATTGAGCTCCCAAACTGTGTTAACACTTTTACAGTCTGCATGTCTTCTCAGGGGGAGGGAGATTGTAGGTTAGTGCGTAATATTATATCCCTCTTGTAATATAATCTCTGGTGTAATTATGCTAAGATTGACACGCTCCCTAAATATGGGAATGCTTTAAAACATTCACCTTTCCTTTCTGTTTCAGCAAAGGAGAAATGATATTACAATAGAAAAAGTAAACCAAACAGAAAGGAAGAGATTATTTCTGTATTGATAAAGGGAAAAGTATAGTAATAGGAATGAGACCAGTTTTGAATCTAATGCACCAGACACAGTTACTAGGATTGGATCTCTTCTGCTTTCTCTCCCAGGCTCCAGGATAAAGAAGAATCAATTAGCTCTCCTGCAGACTATGACCTTGAAGGATACAGCTTTAAGGGGAATATGCTGAGTAAGGCAGAAAAGAGAGAAGAAGAAGAGAAAAGGATTTGGAAACTCATGGAAGGGCTTGGTTCAGAAACAATACATCAGCCACAGAATGCAAGATGTGTCAGTTCTTTTTTATTTCTGCACTGGGAAAAAAAAATTATCAGCACAAAAGGGGCTTCCTGGGAACAAGTTACCTCACTCTGCCTGAAATGGAAAAAAGGACACTGAGAGGCAAAAGAAGGGACAATCCAATTTGCAGATGCTACTTTCCAAGCCATCTCTCTGGGAATTTTATTGCTGTGAAAGGCATTCATAAAAAAAAAGTTATCACTGATGCAATCTGTCAACCTCTCCAACAAATCTTGCTCTACATAAAACACAATGATGTGTTTGAAATGCAGCTGTTTCAAAAACCCCAAGACAGTGCTTTTAGAGCTGTCCAAAAAGTTCTTTTCATGCCTCTTTGAATTCTTAGGCAGATCTTCTGCAGTGTACTTTTCCATCTATATTTTCTTATTTCTTTGCAGGGAATTGCAGCCTTTTGCCATAATCAGAATTACATGCCATGGTCAGAATAAATACTGTCTATACAACCTTCTCCCTCAGAGCAACCCAAACTTGACGTGCTGCCATTTCTCACTCTCCTTTCAGTCTGTATCTGTCTGGAAGTCTATGATGCCTTAAAACACATTTATCTCAAGAAAATTAAGGCAACAGTAAAAAAAAAAAAACCCCAAACAAAACAACTCAACCCAGTCACCTAATTTCTGGACAACCATTTATTTCCCAGATGTGAGCAGATATGAATGCAGATAATGGCTTTTTGTCAGTAACTGCTCCAAAGAATCTCTTTTTTACCCCCCCTTCATTTACTTCAGAGGTGAAGTTAGGATGTTATTGATAAAGGCTTGCCTCACATGTGGAAATTCAAGAGGATGAGGGTTGTCTTGGCATAACTAGCTTTTGGTTGCTTCTCACTCTTGCACAAAAGAGGCTGTTTTGACTGGACGGTGATCCCTGGTCACTTTATGAAGTAAAAAGTGCTGTCACATCTTTAATGTCACTTATGATATTTGCACTACAAAAAAAGATTTTCTGCATTAGCAATAAAAAAAGAAATCACTTACTATAGTTCTATATAACTGCAAAGGTGGTTAAGTATCCCAATAATTGAAGTAATATCTTACCTACCACAGACAAAGCCCCCTGTCATTTAACTGCATAGCAATATTTCCCTATTAGACTGTTTCCGTCAGACAAATTCCTTTAATCCAAAGGCTGGTTGTCACCCATTATCTAAGCAAAAGGCAGCAGGGCTTCTACAAGAATACTTGAAATTTTCTGTCAGTGATTCTGAAATTGCTGTTCAAGACTGACTCTCAGCTGAAAGGACCTCTACTGAAATCACTGTAGTTATGCTCATTCTTATGAACAAGGTGGTTGGCCCAAAATTTATATATAATCCAATTGCCGCATACCTATACTGAGTCCAGTCCTGCTCTGGCTAAACTCAGTAGTGAACTTCTGGTGACTTCAGAGCTCCAGGGTGAGGTCCAGTTATGTACCACCTACAAGGTGGTCATCCTGCAGCATTACAGGGAAGGCACAAGGGAGAATAAATGAGAAGGGGTCCTGCAAAGCAATTTGCAAGGAACACTGTTGCTCGTTCTGATCACTGCAGCTTTCCAAAGGAAACCTCAGCCCTGTGCTCTCAGCACAATGGTGTGCTGCCTTCTCTTTTACTAGAGTTGCACAATTTTACACAGCTCAGGAGTTGCTGGCTTGATCTGCTCTGGATTTGATGGGTTAAAATGATGAACGTCAAAGAAATTACACTTCAGCAATGCGGTATTTTGATGCTGTGTGATTGCTACTGAGAAAATAATCCATATACCCTGGATATTTTTTGCTTTAAGGATGAGCAAAGACTAATTTGGAAACTGACCCCACCTGCATCGGCAAGAATGCTTTCCTGAAATGCCCCACAAAAGTCAATGAGGCAATGTCTGAGAAACAGGTTCAAAAAGAATCAGCTCCTAGAGGAGAGGAAAGATGCAGAGAAATATGTGCTATGCTTTTAAGAGAAAGGGAAAGATCATAAGCTAACTGCTAAATTAATAATTCCCAGTCTCTAACTGCTTCA